ATAAAAATAGCTGGGCTTGGTGGCACACCTCTGCAATCCCAGAACTTGGGAGGCCGAGGCAGCTGGATCACTGTGAATTCAAGGCCTGCCTGGGCAATATAGTGAGTTCAAGGCCAGCCTACACTACACAGTGAGACTTCGTCTCAAAAAGACATAAATAAATGTAGAACTACCATATGATCCAACAACTCCATATATATCTAATGGAAATGAAGTCCATATGTTAAATAGATACCTGCTGTTGCACGTCCATTGCAGCGCTACCTACATAGCCAAGAAATGGGAACAACCTAAGCCTCTGCCAACTGATGTGTGGATGAAGATGGAGCGGTACATACACACAACAGAACGCTACTCAGCTATGACAAAGAATTACCTTTTGTCTTTTGCAACCACATATATGGAGCTGGACATCATTATGCTAAGTGAAATGAGCCAGGAAGGGCACCACATGAGCTCACTCATATGTGGAATATAAAAGTGTTGGTCTCATGGAAGTAGAGAGTAGAAGGCAGTTAGCAGAGGCTGAGTGGAACAGGAGGAGGGAGAGCTGGACCTGTGGGCGCTGGGTTCCAGTTAGATAGGACTAAGGCAAACTGACATGCGATTGCCTGGTAGGGTGACTACTGAGATCAGTAATCCACTGTACATTTAAAAAAGCTATGGATAAAGTTTCAATATTTTTCATGGTAAAGAAATGATCAATGTTTGGGCCAACCAAATAGCTCAGCGGATTAAAGCGCCTGCAAGCAGGCTCAGGGGGCAAGAGTTTCATCCCCGGAGCCTTCTGTGCAGGCCCCGCCCCCAGGGTGCGCTAAAACTGGGCGTGGTGGCATGCACGCCTGTAATCCCAGTTCTTGGGTGGTTGAAAACAGATGGATAGGGGCCAGGGAGATGGCTCAGTAGGATAAGCGCTTGACTGGCAAACACAAGGATCTGAGTTCAATCCCCGGTTGAAAAAAAAAAAAGAAACAAAAAGAAAGAAAGAAAGAAAGAAAGAAAGAAAGAAAGAAAGAAAGAAAGAAAGAAAGAAAGAAAGAAAGAAAGAAA